TATATCTAAAATATTCTAACTTTTTTTTTGTAAACGTAACAGAAAAATCAAAGGAACGATTTTGTTTCCCTTTATACCTAAATTTTTTTTCTGAGGGGTAATTATATACATCATTTATTTTCTTGTTTGTTTCTCTTTACATAAAGATACTTTCTCCTTTCTGGTCTTTAAATCAACAACAGGCTGAAACTCAAGCCCAGGAGACCAAGAATGATTTGGACTTAGCAAAGCAACAGTCAGCACTGCAGGATGGACTTTCCCGGCTGCAGATCAAGTTGCAGGGGAATCACGAGCAAGCCATCCAGGCAGAAGCTCAGACTGAATCGGCCCGACGCCAGGCTGGGGGCCTTAAGGAGGTCATTAGTCCTGCCACTGCCACCAAGAGCAGACAAACAGTGCTTCTTTTGCAGCTAATCCATTAACTGCAGATTTTTGTGTCACTTACCAGCATTTCTGGTAGTGCTGGTCCATGCTCAGTGCCATAGGTTTGTAGGGATCCCAACGGGTATGAAAGCTTTTCTGCAGCAAGGGGCTGTCTCTGAGAGGGCAGAAGTCCTCCAGCCAAATCTTGTTGGAGTGTTTACTCTGCATTTACTCACCCACATATTCTTGGTGGTTTCCTGATCAAATTTTTCCTCAACTTCCAAACTTTCCCAATTGATGCCATTGATCTATATTGTATGTATTTGCCCTTTAATCAAATCACATAACATAAGAAAAGAAGTGAAAGTCATCTGCCAGAGAATAGATCAAGTTACAAAATTCAGTGAGTTAATTAAACAGTTGTGGAAAGTGGCTCATTAATTTAGGTTGCTGAAAGAACCTATCATCCCATTTTCTTAGCAGGATATCTGGTCGGTAGCATTAATATGGTAGCTTAAACAAAGGAAAAATGTTCAAGTGTTTTTACAATTGGTCTATTCTCTTCTTTTTAATCCCTAATGTGCTGGATAAATTTTCCACTGACTTGGAGGTTGAGAACATGTTCTACGGAACAGAGGCTGAGAAGGTGCTTCCAGCTCTCCCTCTTCCCACTTCCATATTCCATTCCTGCATCTGGCCTCTACGCATGTATTTAACATCCTAGATTGGCAGCCACACAGTCTGACCCCAGAGATTTCCAGTCTGACTCTGAGGGAGATCTTCATACTAACACCTCTGCTTCCCTTCCTGCATCCCTTCCTACCTCACTTCTCTTACCTTTTTGCCAACCAAATAATGTTATCCTTGCTGCTTCAAAATAGTCACTGCCTACTCTGCCCTGCATTTTGCTTATGCAGCTGTTCAACCAATTGAATCAAGATTCGTCAAGGGCAGGACTAGGTCATTCTGTCTTCTACGTCTCTGTCCTTAACATAGTTCAGGACAAACAATTGGTGCCTGGTAAATAGTTTCCTTAACACAGAATCATGGTTGACATTTTGTAACAAAGATGTTTCATTTTTAATTAACAAAAGCTGAGATGTTTTTCAACCTGAAAAAAAAATGCAAATAAAAGCCCTGTTGGAAATATCAGAGTAATTCAAGCATATTGACTGGATTAGGGTTTCTTTTATTCCTTTTATGAACAGTATCAGTCAACATCATGTATGTGCACATGATTTATAAATATTTTCTGATGATGGGGGTGTTGCTCTTTTACAGGAGTTCACTGAGCTAAAAAATCAATATGCTATTCTTCAACATAAGACAAGTGCTGCAGGACTGACTACGGAAACATTAGAAAAAGTGAAACAGCTAAAAGATGCAGCAGAAAAATTGGCTGGCGATACAAAGGACAAGATAAGAAGAATAACAGGTATTGGTCCTTTTTTTCCAACTTTATTGAGATATAATTGACAACTAGAATTGTATATATTTAAACTGTACAATGTGACGATTTGCTAGATGTATACATTATGAAATGATTACCACATTTAAATCAATTAACACATCTGTCACCTTCATGTATACAATAAATATTAACTATAGTCAGCACCATGCCCTAATTGGTACATTAGATCCTTAGATTGGTATATTAGAACTTATTCATCTTTTAACTGAAAGATGGTACCCTTTGACCAACATCTCCCCATGTCCCCCATCCCCCAACAGTCCACCATTCTACTCCACTCTCTGTTTCTGTGAATTCAGCATTTTTCTTTTTTTTAATTTTCTTTTTTTTATTTTTTTTT